AGGGGACCATTGAGAGCATCCAATTTACAAGAGTTTCATATATCTGGAGATGGGCTTACATGGTGCTGACATTTGGAAAACCCATTTAGATTATATCAAAAATGAATGGGAGGAACTCTTTCACACCCACAACAATGAAGGCCAAGTTAGCCCTAGATTCAGCCACGGCAGAGTTGTTCCAATTAGGCACTGAGTGGGGTGATCGTTTAAAGGCCATTTATTAGTCTATTATAGCAAAGAGATGTCCCTCAATGAAAAGAGGGAATGTAGGACAGAGAATCGGTTTTCATTTTATACGCCATATAGTAGAAAAAGTACAAAACAAGACTTGATTGGATGGAAGAAATCATCCTGCTCAGTTACGCCAGAGACATGGACAGTAACATCCCGTAATATTGCGCATAACCATTGAAATGAGCATGGCATTAAAAGGAGAACGTTCACATGGGGAAAAGTGTCACGACTCAAATGAGGTTGTTGCAAAAAGGTACAATTTCAACCATACAATTTCCACTAAAGCAGAAAGCTTCTGTATTGCAAGGTTATGATAAAACCACACAAGTTACAAGAAAGTGCAAATCATTGCAAGAAACCCGTTGCTTGGCCATCATCAAGGAATGTATTCCTGGCAACACAGACCTCGTCATGTGAGGCGTTCATAAATTGGGGGAAGGGAGGTGCCATGGTGCAGACTGAGATCAGGAAGGCCGGGGAAAGAATATGCGGTAGTTCGGGGGCTTCTTGGGGGGCCAAATGGCTCTGGGGCTGAAAAAGCCACTGAGCTGCAGCACAAAGCCCAGTCTTAGCCCAGCCCAGGAATGCGCTGCGAAGGGACCTGTGCGCCACGCCCCAAGAATGCGCCGCCATCCTGGCCAGGGTTGCTGCACCCACCTCCACTCCGAGACCCTTCCTGGCCTCCACTTTACAGTCCAAGCTGATCTTCCTCATCTTCTTCCTCCTGCTGCTAGTCGGGGATCTAGGCACTAGGCGAGGCTGCAGCTCTAATGCAACTAATCCTCGACTTACGACAGTAATGGAGCCAGCCAATTTTGGTCATAAAGCGGAAGGATGTTGATTGAAACTCATTAACTTAAAGAGCCCGCATCCTGGATCACCCCAATGCACACGTTAAACCAGGCATGTCAAACTCGCGTTGTCACGTGACATCGCACGTATTGCAACTTTTTCCCCATTGCCGGCAATGGGGTGGGCGCGGTTTCAGTATGATGCATCCGGCCCGCAGGCCAGCAGTTTGACATGCCTGCCTTCAAGGAATGCAGGAGTGAATGCAGGGTTGCTAAATTCGCATGGGAGGCCTAAGGGATGCCTACCCTGGGGTTCCCCCACCCCATGAGATACCCCATGCTCTGCTTCCTTTCCTTGGGATCTCCACAGCCATCTCCACCCCTCACAATGCCTTGGTTACCTTCCGGAGATCTGCAGAATTTCCTCCACTTTCTGCCTTTCTGTATGGCTTCTTCAACTCCAAAGAGGATAAGGAGCCACAGTCTGTGCTCTGCATTTTCTATATTTCCTGGGGAGAAACAAGAGCCTGTGGCAGTGGGAGGGAGGACAGACAATGAAGGGTTAAGTGTTAAAAGGGCACGGAGAGGGAGTTGCTTTGCCTTGTTTGAAACCTGACCTGGTAGGCAAAGTTACTCTTCCCCCCCCCCTTTGCATTGCCCTTTTAACACTTAACCCTTCATTGTCTGTTCTCTGTCTCACTTGGATTCTCCCCATTTTCCACAAGGAAATAAACTATTAAGCCAGGGGTCTTCAAACTTGGCCCTTTTATGACTTGTGGACTACCAACTCCTAGAATTCCTCAGCCAGGCACGCTGGCTGAGGAATGCTGGGAGTTGAAGTCCACAAGTCATAAAAGGGCCAAGTTTGAAGACCCCTGTATTAAACATAAATTGTGATCATTATCCTATTTGGAGTTAAAGAGGCTATGCACAAAGACAGAAGGTGTGGGAAATTCTGGTTTTCTGAAGTGTTTGCAAAGACTGCTCCACGTGGCCCAGTAAGAACAGCCTATAATACTGCGTTCTGCAGATCTCCGGAAGGTAAACAAGGCATTGTGAGGAGTGGGAGGTGGGGGGAAGCAGGCCCATGCCTTTGGGGGTCCAGCAGAGCAAGGATGGGGGGACGGAGAGATAGGTGGGCATGCTTCAGTGGCTCTGCAATGTATTGAAGCTGCCCGATCATTCTTAAGTGTGGATGACGCGATAACTTTTGTAAAATTCTTAACTTTGAATCACGGTCATACAGGGCTTTTGGGAGGTGTGTTGTAACTTTGAACAGTCACTAAATGATCTGTTATACCTCGAGGATTACCCTATAGTTTACTACTTCACCACTGAAGTTGCTTAAGGCAAACCGTACGGCCTACCTGTTTTACAGCCACATTATTCCGCTCAACACTCAGAAGAAATTGTGATTCGAATTTGTGGAACTGAATAATCTTGTGCTCATAAGATTACATACCCGTTGAAAGTGTAAAATTATTCAAATTCCACTATTTGGCATCACAGAAGAGCACAATCATTAAACAGAGTGTAGCAATAAAGGGAATAATAAAATGGTGCTGTGCATAAGTTTACTTACTCCTGAGAATACAGTATTCACTCATGTTGACAAAGATTGAGCTGGCAATGAAGGGTAAGAGTTCACACCTGTCTTACTGAGCTGTAATTAGGTCTGTGATAAATATTCAAGTAGCTTCTGAGGCCGTGAGAAGCCCTTCTGCATGTCATCCATGGCATTTTAAGTTCTGGTGGCCCAGTTGCTAAAATTGCAGTATTGCAGGACGACTGTCCACGGCCTGGAGTTCCATTCTGAGCGCGCTCAAGCCTTGTCTCAGCCTTCCATCCTTCTGAGGGTGTAAAACGAGGATCCAGATTGTTGCAAACTTCCTCCGCCGGGCTCGCCCGTCCTCCTGCAGGGGCGAAGGGGGAGGAGGAGAGGCGGTCACGGCTTCGTCCCTTCCCCGGAGGGGAGTCCCAGGCCCGCCCGGGGAGGAAGGCCGAAGCCTCGGCCTCTCAGTGGGACTTTCCGGGCAGGCCTCCCTCCCAGCGCCCGTCCCGCCAGACCAGGCCTCGCCTCCCCCCNACCCATCCATTTCAATGGGCATCTGTAATCACCCACCTGCTGAGACTTTGGAAAAAGCGAAAAGGAGAGCAACTAAGATACTTAAAGGCCTGGAGACTAAAACGTATAAAGAAAGGTTACAAGATTTGGGTTTGGCTAGAGCACAGGTGTCCAACTTGTGATGTCATGTGATGTGTTGTGACTTTTTCCCCACTGCTGGCAATGGGGTGGGAGTGGTTTCGGCGTGACGCATGCAGCCCGTGGGCCGTCACTTTGACATGCCTGGTATATTAGGGCTCCTGCTTGAGTAGGGAGCTGGACTAGGAGACCTCCAAGGTCCCTTCCAGCTCTATTCTACATTTGAATTTGCCTTCACTAACAACAGATGTGGGCTCTGAACTGTTCCCAGGAACTCATTCCAGCTTCAGCAGCTGAAGCATCAAACCCAGAAGACAAGGGGGGGGGGGCAAAGGACGTCACACCCACCGTTTCCCCTGCAGGTCAGAGAATCAGCCCAAGTTATCAGCAATCACATGATGGTTGTTGCACCCGGAGCATTCCACTATCACAGCTCTATGATGGTAAGCCAGCTTGGAAGTGCTTTTTGCAGACCGTGTCTCACATTGCTGAAAGAGAAGCATCCACTCAGGGATTTTTCAAAATGGTTCTCTGGGATATCCAAGGGCAGGGAATTGGGGGGAGGTGCCAATTTATTTAGGAATGACTTCTGTTATTTGGAGAGCAGCTCAACTCCCCTCTGGGTGCTTTACAAAAGAGAACGATAAAGGGGGAAAAGAATGTATACACCTGGGAACACTTACTGCATTGCACACCAAAGCTCCCTGTGGCTCAACCACCTGCCTGCCCCCCCCAGCCCAGAAGCAAAGCCCCCTCCTCAAAGAGGCTGGACCTCAACCTTTTCCCAGATCAGCCATTAGTCAACAGCAGAAAAACCATCCTCACGTCAAACCCAACAGCCCGTGTCTTCACAAGCACCTTCAAGGTATTTTCTGAACAGCGATACAGACTGAGCTGGTTCTTTTTTTAACTTTCCAGTGCTACACAGCATCTCTTGCGTTTCCTGCAGGTTCCCCCATCCAAGTCCCAACTGAGCCTAAACAACCTTTACAAATCATCCAAGGCTGCCCAGGTACAAACTGAGAGTCACCTGCCTGCAGATGGTTCCCCGCGGACGCTACCTGGGCGAGTCCCTGCAATAAGCCTCAATGGAAAGGGAAGCTCTCACATTTCCACAGCCTGCTCAGTTTGGCTACTCTTATGCCTAGTTAAGGTGGCTTCCAAAGAGGCTGTTGAACCTGGCAGGGGGTCTGGATGTGCAAAACCAGGAGTGGGGAAGCAGGTCGTGTGAACAGAGCCTCGGGTCACGCTGTGTCCTCCTTTAGGTTGTTCTAGGCCAGAGGTGAACGATGATGCCCCTTTTATGACTTGTAGACTTCAGCTCCCAGAACTCCTGAGCCCGCATGGACCACAAATCATAAAAGGGCCATCAGCGATCGGCGTCCTCCTTCCTTCTCTTTTCCAGCTGAATGCCTGCAGAGGGCGCCAGCAGCCTCGCTCTGTTCCCCCTCCTAGAAAGATGGCGCCGGGAGCCTCCCTCACTTCCGCTTCTGCCCGGCATACACATGGCGCCCCCCACAGTATTTGCACTTGTAGGTTTCTTTCGTTGCGGCTGGGGAAGTCCGAGCCACTGACCTGCCAGGCATCCCTCCAGCTCCGGCCCCCACGACCCGTGTGTCCTTCTTTGCCCCTGCCGAGGAACCGCCCGCGAGAGCCGCTCTGAGGGGCCCCAGTGCCCTCTTGACTGCGGGAGGAGCCACGGCCTTTCCTGGCCCTCGAGATGAAGTAGAGCCGAGCAGCAACTCCCCCACCGGCCACCAGGGGGCAATAAAGGACGGGTCTTGACTCCAACTGCTGGTCCTCGAGAGCGCTGCAGCCCAGAGATGCTCTACCCCAGGTTTCCTTTGGAGGGCAGCTCTTCCTCCCAAGGAGGCGGGGCCCTGTCTGGCCCTAGAGTGCACAACAACCTGCCCAGGTAGGCTGGCGAAGGCATTGCGGAGTCTGATTGGCAAGATAGTTTGGAGTTTATAGTTCAGCAACATCTTGTTTCCGTTCACACAACACAATTCCCTCCCTGGGATCTAACACCCGCATTCACACGTGCTAAGTGTGGCAGTGTTGAGAAGGACTGGATTTCTGGGGCTTTGACTGTCCTAGTCCAGCCTTCCTTACTTCATATATCTGAGGCTGGCCTTACATAATTCTGACATTTGGAAAACTTATATAGATTATATCAAAAATGAGATGGAGCTCTTTCACAACCACAAAAAAGGCCAAATTAGCCTAGATTCAGCCACATCACACTTGCTCAAATTAGGCACCGAGTGGGATGATCGTTTAAAGGCAATTTATTAGTCTATTATAGCAAAGAGATTTCCCTCAATGAAAAGATAGAGGTGTCGATAGAGGTGTCGATAGAGGTGTCCACAAACAATAAAGCTCTTTCCACACTCAAGGTATTTGTATTGTTTTTCTCCCGAGTGGACTGATACTGATAAAGACTTCCCTTCCCACAGAAACTCTTTCCACGCTCCAGGCATTTATATGGTTTCTCTCCTGAATGGAGTCTTTGATGTCTGTAAAGGTTTTCCTCTGATTACAGCTCCTTCCACACTCCCGACATTTATCTGCTTTTTCTCCTCTGTGAATGCTTTGATGTTTATGGAGACCTTGACTTTCAGTAAAGCTCTTTCCACACTGGAGGCATTTACAGGTAATCCCCCAGGTACGAGAGTTCATTTAGCCAGCTTTCATAAAAACGAATTAATTAAATTAATTCAGGAAGGGTACTTACATTAGAAATTCAGAATTGCGACCAAAAAGGTCTCTCTAGGCATGTGACTTGATTGGCGGCCATTTTTATCTCTCCGACTTTCCTTGCCTGTTCGGGGCTACGAGAAGCTGGCAGGGTTTGGCTTTTTTTTTTTGTCCATGGCCATGTGGATTCTTTGATGTACATAAAGGTTTCCCCTCTGACTGAAGCTCTTTCCACACTCCAGGCATTTATGCAGTTTCTCTCCTGAGTGGATTCTTTGATGTACATAAAGGTTTCCCCTCCGAGTGAAACTTTTTCCACAATCCAGGCATTTATGCGGTTTTTCTCCTGTGTGGATTCTTTGATGTGTATAAAGGTGTCCCCTCTGACTGAAGTTCTTTCCACACTCCAGGCATTTATATGATTTTTTTCCAGGGTGAATTCTTTCATGTATATAAAGGTCTCCCCTCTGACTGAAGCTCTTTCCACACTCCAGGCATTTATACTGTTT